GATTCCAAGATCTCTCTGATTGGAGACTACTTTTTAAAAGAAACAAAGAACAATCTACAATCTATTAACACAAAGCTAACCCCATGTGAAGACCGAACCACAAAATGACTTCAAATGTTTAGGTCATGAAGTAGTCTCAAAATGGAGGGTGAAAATATGGTATATATAACTCTGGATATTCAAATTTTAGCAGAGATAAATGAAATTCATGAAACAAAGCAACACAAAAAATGTATTTTTGATTTTTTTATTTATTTATATTATTTAATTAAAAATAATTATTTTGTATTAACTGTATAAAATACTATTTTAGTGAAACTGTAATAGCACAGGCTACTGGTTATATTTACAACGAGTAAGGAAATGAAAAAAAGAGAAACCTAATACAATATGAAATACTATGCTATGAATTAATCCAATCAGGAAATGTCAGTTGTATGTGTAATCTTTAAAAGATATCATATTTGATTTGATTAGGAAATATTTTATAAAACAAGATTTCAATAAATAAAAATGATCATACACAGTACAAAACAAAGGATTTGTGATATTAAACCAATAGTGCAAAAAGTAAGGTTATTATGTATTATCATGACCCCCACATTTAGTTAGACTTGATTAATAAATTAATTAAATTATATAAAGTAATTTAATACAGAAATATTAACATACCTTTTATTTAGGTACATTCTAAAAGTTAGAAAGTCCTTCAGGGCCAAGTAGAGCTCAAATAGAAAGGTACTGATATCAGTTGAGTCTGTCGCCTTTGATTTTAACCGTTCATTGACACCTTTCATTAAATCTATCACCTCTTCTCCAAGCTATAAATCAATATGAAATCAATTAGAAATATGTAAAATAAAAATAATAATAATATACTTATTTCCTCCAAAAACATCAAAAGAACAAACGTACAGAGGTGGTCAGACGAAGGTGGAACAAGTTCCTATTACTGTACTAAATGGTTTCATATGCCCAAAAAACGAAAACGATGACATAAAAAATAAGACATGTAAATTCATAGAAATGATGTATTTTGTTTAATTTTTATGAAAACAATGCAAGCTATTTTAGACTCAGTCTTATTGAAGCATACCCCTCTTACTGTCAATAATATGCAATGCACAATTACATTAAATATAGTACCTGGTACAAAGACACACTTGTGCTCTGACACCACTCTCTTGTGCTCTATGAATGTATTATTACTAATAATTGTAAAAAAAAATTTGAAGCCTTTAGAATGGTTCACATTATATTATACCTGACCATTGGAGAGAAACATGATAATTTTTCACATGAATGCTTTAAAGATTTCATTGATTTTCATTTCCCGGGGAGTGTTCCTCGTCATACTTGAGGAAATTGATAACAGATTAAATTTTTTTACTTTACTTGATTTAAAATTGAGACTTCGGTGCAAGGAGCGACTAAGTTACATACCAACAAATGCCAAGCCTTGCTTGTGCACTTTGTAAACTCTTTGTCTTGTCCCATGGAGACAAAGCATATATATATATATATATATATATATATAAAATTAAAACGGAACAGTAGAGAAAATCCGATCAGAATGACAAAATAAACTAAGCATCCACTGGAAGGAATCCCAATATCTGCAGACGGATCCGTTTCGGCCTTCCAGGCCTCATCAGTGCAGCTAGGATATAGACCCAAACGACACGTTCGACCAGCTTAGGTAGAGCCCAAACTAGTCCCACGACCACTAATGACTACAGAGCCAAACCAAGGCAATATATATACACAGCCCAGGTGTGAATGCAAATAGTGGAATACAAGCTATGTGGCTCGGTTCCAGTAGATACAGAGAA